GGTTTTTCTGGTTCTATTCTCCTTTCCTTTTGTGTATATATATTTTTTCTTAATATATTTTCATGGTGGTCCATGAATATTTCAGTTAACAGCGTGTTTTTGTAACATTCTAGGGTAATTTGGTACCAACTTCAGTAATATAAAAGAAACTCTGTATTTATACTATATTTCCCCCTTGTGTTGTTGTTATGTTTTTATATCTCATGTGCCCTATAACATAATTTGATCCTTGTTTGTTATATATTTGTTACTAGAAATATGAAGGACAAAACATGTAGAATTACCAAGCATGAATGCCTTATTATTACCATTTATACTTGTATAAGCATTTGCCTTTATTGGGATCTTTCTTTTTATGTATGGCTTTGAATTACTTTCTAGTGTCCTTTCCCTTCCATCTACAGAACTCCCATATGTATTTTTTTGTAGGGCCAGTTTGGACTCTCTCAGCTTCATGTGTATCTGGGAATATTTTAATTTCACCCTTATAGCATTCTTGGTTGACTGCTTCTCTTTAAGCCCTTTAAATATATCATTCCATTGCTTTCTGGCCTCCAGTGTTTATGAGGAGAAATTGACACTTAATCTTATTGAGGATCCTTTGTATATGACTTTGCTTCTCTCTTACTACTTTCAGGATTCTATCTTTATCTTTACTTTTTCATGAGGGATATTGGTCTGTAGTTTTCCTTTTGAGTGATGTCTTTTCCTGGTTTTGGTATTAAGGTTATGCTTGCTTCATAAAATGAGTTAGGGAGGATTCCATCCTTTTCTATGTTTTGGAATACTTTGAGTAGGATTGGTATCACTTCTTCTCTGAATGTTTTATAGAATTCTCCAGTGAAACCGTCTGGGCCAGGATTTTTTTTAGTTGGTAATTTTTTGATAACCTGTTCAATTTCTTCTTTTGTGATGGGCCTGTTCAAGTTTTCCACATCAGTCTGTGTTAGTTTAGGTAAGTGGTGTGTTTCTAGAATACTGTCCATTTCCTCCAGATTTTCAAATTTGTTGGAATACAGTTCTTCATAGTATCCTGATATTATCCTTTTGATTTCAGTTGGTTCTGTTGTGATGTCACCCATTTCGTTTCTTATTCGTGTTATTTGTATCCTCTCCCTCTTTTCCTTTGTTAAATTTGCCAGTGGTTTGTCAATTTTATTGATCTTTTCAAAAAACCAACTTCTGGTCTTGTTGATTTTTTCTATAGCCCTTCTATTTTCTGTTTCATTGATTTCTGCTCATATGGTGGTTTTTGTCTTAAAGTCACTTTGATCAGAAATTAGTATTGCCACTCCTGCTCTCTTACAGTTGCCATTTGCTTGATATATCTTTTACCAACCTTTGATTTTTAGTCTGTTTTTGTCATTATCTCTAAGGTGTGTCTCTTGTAGGCAGCATATTGATGGGTTTTGTTTTCTTATCCAATCTGCAACTCTCCGTCTCTTGAGTGGTGCATTTAATCCATTAACATTCAGGGTGATTATTGATAAGTTTGAATTTGTTGCTGTCATTTTGTTATGTATTTTTTCATGGTGTCCCTGGTTTCTTTGTTCCATATTATTTTCTGTGCTGAGCTCGTTATGTTTATGAATTGTGTTATCCTTCCCGTTGTTGCTGTTGTTTTAGTATATGCTGAATATTTCTGCTTGTCTTCTTTTTTATTGTGATGTGAAGGTTTATAATTATTCTTTGAGGTTACCCTATGATTTATAAATTTATCCCTGAGTTTAGAACAGTCCATTCTATCTTTCAACTTTCTTAACTTCCTCACCATTTAGAAATTCTGTGACTGCACAGTCTTTTCCCTCTTTTTGTTTGTAGTTGTCCTCACTTGCCAATTGCTATCTCTGGTTTTATCTTTACTTTTTGAAAGTGATATAGATCTATTTGAGTTTATCCTGCTTAGGGTTCTTTGAACTTCTTGGATTTGTAGATTCATTTCCTGTGTTAAATTTGAAAAAAACTTTGTTATCATTTCTTCAAATATTCATTCTGTTCCTTTCTTTCAACTCCTTTTGGAATCCCATGATATTTATATATATAGAGAGAGTCCTTTATTGTTGTGCCGTAATTCAGTTAAACTCTGCTCAGCCTTTTTGAGTCTCTGTTCTTGTTGTTTTTCAGCACCTGTAATTTTAAATATTTTGTCTTATATGCACTGATTCTTTCTTCTGCCTGGTTAAATTTCTTGATAAGTCCTATTGCATTTCTCATTTCATTTGTTGTTGCTTTCAATTGCAATACTTTTATTTTTTTTTTAGAGCTTCATTTTGTTCTTGCATTGTTCTCTCATTTCTTTTATCTCTTTGTGTTTTCCCTTAGTTCTTTGATTATATTTAATATTGTTATATTCTTCCTTTTTTTTCATTATTTGTTCATCTCTAGATGGCATTTCACACACTTTCTTATGTTCATTTGCATGAACCATTGTTTTGCTATTCTTTGTGTTTGTGATTTTTTTTTTTGTTTGGGGCATTGGAATTTTCAAGGAGCTCTGTTGGTATACTGCCTAAAGCATTTAACTGCTAACCAGAAGGCTGGTAGTTCAAACCCACCACCAGCCACTCCTCGGAAGGAAGATTGGGCAATCTACTTCCATAGAGATAGTGCCTCGGAAACCCAAGGAGGGGTCGCCATGAATCAGATCTGACTTGAGGGCAGTGAGTTTGGTTTTTTCTCTGGTATTAACTTTCTTAGGTTCCCCCAGTGTTTGTTGTTTTGCCTTTACTGCTTTCTGCAAAAAAAAAAAAAAACTCTTAGGTTGGAAGAGCCTTTGGTCTTTGCTTACTAGTTCCTCTTCCTCTCTGTGATAGCTCTTTTTCCTGCCTTGGTTTCATTAGAATTTGAAAGTTCCTGGTCTCAGTTTTCAACTTTCAGTCTCTCCCAGATACATTAGAGAACATGCTGTGATCAGTCTCTACCTGCAGGTGAGGGAGTGCACTTTTCTCTCTGTTGTTATTAAGCTTTTAGTTTCTTTATTTCTGAAGCTGTGTTTTTAGTTGGAACACCTATGCTGGCTAATCCCCTTTTGTGTCTGGGTGTTCCCCATTAGTTTTGCCCCAGGTTGCCTTCCCTGCTCTGTAGGTGCTGTTTATATATGAGCTGACATTCAGGGAAAGCACAGATAGATTTTCCTCTGTTTCCAGAAGTATCTCTGAGAGATCTGTCAGAGCCCCAGTGGACCTTTGATGGTTGGGGGAGCAGTCTCCACCTACATTACCCACCTCTGGCCTCCACTGGAGGTAACTTTCTTCAACAGTTCATAGCAGTCCAGTAGCTGATAGTTACTGGTTGGGGGAGGGATTGTCATACTCCAAGTAGACCCCCAGGAATGTCTGCCTTGTTGCTACCAGAGTCCACCCCACAGTATATGGGCTGTGAGTATAGCCCCTACTCAAAATACCTGCTTCCTAGCACATAGCAGCTGCAGTTAGCAGTCTCAGCATCAACCAGAATAGGGAGCAAGCAAACATGACATGACTTCCTGGGAAGTCTGTCCTACTGGTTTCAGAGACCTGAGCTATGGGTACATAAGGAAGCAGGTGGAGTGTTGTCTATGAGAGCAGAATCCACTGCATAGGCCACTGCACAGCTCATTGCTACTCTAGTAATTCTCAGTGGGTTTGTAGCCAGCAGCGTCCAGGTTGCGACAGCACTAACACACTCCAGATGGACCCCTGGGGAGGTCTGCCTTACTGATTTTAGAGCAGAAGCTCGAGGTCCTCTCTCTTTATACGGGCAGGGGCTCTGGTGGTTAGGGAAGCAATCTCCTTTTCTAGGCCACTACCCCATTTCACAGCAACTGGAGGCCCTCTAGTAGCTAGGGGGAAGGACTATGGGAGAAGAGATTGTCCTACCATATGGGACTCATTGTTGATTTTTGCTAGTCTACAGTTCCCTGCTACTTTCTTCTGCTCCTCATTCAGAATCCCTCAAAGTTGAGCACTGTTTCCTTGTATTTCTTGTTGTATTTGTAGGGGAGGGTCAGAACAGTGGTCTCTTTATAGCACCATCTTCCCAGAATTCCGATCCATATGATTTTTGAGTTGTGATTGTTTGTGACTGAGGGCAAATAAACGTGCAGTCGTCCTTAGGAATGAAATGGTTGCCAAGTGTTCATTGGAACACTACCATCATTATAACTAATAGTTTCTGACATACCTCTGTTGGCTTAAGAGCTTTTTAAAAAAGAAGAAAACAGAAATGGCCTGGTCTTTATAGTTGTTCTTTGATTTGAATCAAACAAATTACTTCTGGTTAGCTGATTTATTTGTTGTTTTTTGCCACTGGCTTTAAAGAAAAATAAAAATAAAAACAAAAATCAAGGGTCTTGTCCTCTAAAATTATTTGCTATGTCAATAGTATTTTATTTTGATCCTCTCAAATCTGTTGGTCCTTGAAAGATATATAATCTTTTCTTTTCTAAACTCCTAAAACATAGTAATTCCTCCTGGCTAAAACACCTACTTATAAGCAGCTGCTTATCATTTAAGTCCAAGATTTAGCTGTGTCAACTCGAAAGGACATGCCAATGATTTTCTTTTTTATTTGTAAAATTTTTATTTAATTTAAATGTATATCCATTCACTAATCTTTGGGTTTAGGGTTAAGACTTTTTTTGAGAAGGAGTCTACAGATTACAATTCAGTTTTGCTTAGTTGCATAGCCTATACCCATTTTGCAGCTTTGTTTATTGAAAGGATTCTTTAAGTGTATTTGTGTTAGAAAGTGTCATCCAAAAGTACTGGTAAACAAATCCTACTGGTGTGCTGTTATTTGTATAGTTTCTTTTAGCAAGAACTTACTATTTTATAGAAGGGGTTTCCTAATGTAAAGATAATGTTAATTTAAATCAACTTCCTATTGCATTCTAATGCTAGGCTTGATATTTCTTGACTCATTTTATACCCATTGTTAGTCTCATTCTTTTACTGAATATGTATGATCTTTTTCAAATTAAAACTTATTTTGTGTGCATTTTTCTTTTATTGCTTTTATAGAACCTACTGGGTTGGTGACATTTACAAGACAGAGTCTTGAAGATTTTCCAGAGTGGGAAAGGTAATAATCATAAAAATAATCCTGCAGCTTTAGATTTAGAATGGCTGTTTTACTATGAGAGAATTCTACTTTATTACCCCTTAGAATATGGTTTCTTAATCTCTAATTGCCCTGGTACCAGGGAGTTCATTTTTATAAATGATTCATTGATAGATCTAATGGTTTGACAGACCATTCCTTTTGAATCAAAGTCTGCAACTCTTTGATTTCTACCCTTTTGCCTTGAGTTCGGTCTTCTGAAAACAAAATCCTTTTGAAATTAAGGAGTTTAGTGTGGCACGATACTAATATTAAACAGATCACCAATATTTAAATGTTCTTCTTTACCTTTCTTTCTCTTTTTTGGTTAGTGTTTGTATTTTGTGTTTTCTTTCTAGATGACACTTTTGGGAAACATTTTTTATTAAACTAAAATGATGTAGGTAGTAATTATCTAGGGTGACAAGAATTTTGAAGTTTGGCCATCCATGTGTACTATTGACAGATTTTGTAGAAGTTGCTAATTTACTCATAGATAGATAGATCGATGCTGAGGATAATAATGAATATGATTTAATTAATTAAGGTTCTTAGTGCCTGAAATAGTTAACGTGTTTCCTAATCTAGAGGTAATGCCTAGTACACTAAGAGTATGGACCAATTTTTTTACAAACACCTGAGGATATGCATATTTGGGTGTGCATTCGTGTTAACCATTGCCTTCCTTTTCATTTTCTAATAATGTTTGTCGTAGTTTGTAATCATTTTTTTGGTATTAGTGATGAAGGAAATTAATGAGAATTAATTTCCCTTAATTTTCTTAAGGGAGGTTAACTCAAGAAGACATATCTGCTTAGGTGATTTCTGTGGTGTTTTCATCCATCAGAGAGGTTTAATTTTGAGGAGAAAGTAAAACTAACTTAGTTCAAGAGGGTGAAGATATGCCTGAGATGATTATTAAAAGAGGCAAGTGAGTAAAAGATTAAGCAACCTGAAGGGGGAAAAAACTGATCCCGAAGAGGAAGAGACTATGTGTAACATTTTGGAGTCATGGCATATTAGAGATGAAAAAGACCCCAGGAAGTCATTTGGTCCAGTACCTACCGAAAGTATCAGTTGCTTCTCTAATACCTATGGCATGTGGAGATGAGACAGTTTCAGTGATGGGGGATTCACCATTTTACCTTAGTTTTTTCCACTGTTAAGGAGTTCTGATGGTGCAGTGTCTAAGACATTTGACTGCTAACCAGAAAGTGGGCAGTTCAAACTCACCAGCTGCACTGCAGAAGGAAGATGGGGTGATCTACTTCCATAAAGATTTATCGCCTTGGAAATCCAGTGGGGTCACTATAAGTTGGAATTGACTCAATGGCAGTGGTTTTTGGTTTATTCTATTGTTAGCTGCTTGTGTTACTATCTAATGTTTTCATTTAGTAAAAAAGTCTGCCTTACTAATGACTCTTTCACCTACATCCTGTCCTACTACTCCTGGTTCTTCTTTCTGGAGTTAAATAATTCTATTTTTTTTTTTAAACGTTAGACACTCCTTAAAAATACTTTCTTGATCCACCCCCAGCTCTAACAATACAAACAGTCATTTCTTCTCCACACTAAATATACTTATTTCTTCTATTTCATGTATAATGTAGATTCTAAATCTTTTAACTCTGCTTTTAACATAACTCCTTTTTATTGATCCATCTTAAAATGTGCCTAGAACTGAAAGTAACACTCTGCTACAGCATTAATCAGTGAAAAGAGAGTACAGAGGATTGTTTTTCTTAGCTGCTTCTATTAGTCTCTAACTGGTATTCAAATGTTCTTGTCCTTTTGGTGTAAATCTTGAAAGATCAATCAGAGAACTTAGTTTTCATTCAACTCAGCATTTCTGCTCTGCACTTGACTTCCAGTGTTAGTGTCAAAGGATACTCATTTGTACATCACCATCTGTAAGAGCAGGATAGAGATGCAGAGATCAGCAAGGCTGCTGTGTCCACAAGGTGTTTTGCCCCTAAGTAAGACCAAGATGTTCCCTTTTAATTTTGATAGACAGAATTTAACTTGTTAGGTTTTCTGGTTGGGTTTTTTTTTTTTTTTTTTTTTTCCTTATTTCATTAATCTCTTTTTTTTCTAGTTGCTTTGTAAGTGAGTTGGAGAATGTATTTAAAATCAATCTTTCAGACCTCATTGAACCAAAATATGTATTCACTTAAAGAGGGACAATGAAGAAGAGATGAGGATTGTTGGTGTTCCTGATAGTAAGGGGCTAAATGGCTGCCAGGAAGATAGAGGCTTTTCTGAATTATAAGGTTCTGGCATGTTATAGATAACACTTGATTATTAGTAAGCACCTTAGCTAGCCTTAGTAATCACTGAGAGAATAGTCAGTTTCTTTGATTCCTAGGGTAGGGATGTGGAGGATTTGCTGGGACAATAAGGGGACACCTACCAGGAAGTTGGAAGATGCTTTTAAAAAAAAGTATCTAGCAACTTTACAATTTTATTGACAACTCCACTATAAGTTGCCAACTTCAGTCATGGAGAATACTTAACAATATAAAGTTCTGACTGACAAACCAGAGATTTCTAGATCTTGCTATATTGTTTCAGTAGCATCCTCCTAGGAAGTCTGCCTCTGAGTAATAGCATTAGGTAAGTAGGACCCAAAGAAAAAGAAGTTAAAAACAAAACACCTTAGGTACAATTTCCTACATGAGATTTGCAAAGTAATTTTTCTGTAAGTATAGCATAGTGTTTAAAAGTTTGGACCATGGAGTTAGGTTACCTGGGTTCAAAACCCTGTGGTTTCATTTACTAGCCCTGGGCAGGATACTTAAATGCTTTCTGTGCTTTTGTTTTCTAATCTGTAAAAGGAAATAACAGTTACTGTGATGATTAAATTAGTTAATATAAATAAAGCACTTAGTACAGTACTTGTACTGAGTTATCTCGTGAGCTTACAGGTATCAGTCATTTGTGCTAGAACTTGTCCAGAAACGTGTTTAGACTCGTTGAAACCAGGAAGGGAACAAATCTCAGTGAGTAAATAGTGTTTCCTCAGTTAGCTTCATAAATTGTTTTCAAAAAATAGAATCCTCTCCCCGAAAATTATTACTAACTTTAGTGTAATTTCCACAAGTTAACTTATATTCAATTATAATTTATACTTTTTATTCAGTAAATGAACAGGGAAAAAAATCTAATAAGGAAAATATCATAAAATGCTATTAATAAAATAATTTTTAATGTAAATATAAATTTTTAATTTAAATGTAAGCCAGTTAAACACCTTAGTGACCATAGTTTATAAAAAGGAAAAAATATAACTGCCTTCTGGATAATCTACAGGTAATAGGTTCATCCGTTAGCTTTATTAATGTAAAAATGCCATAGATCAGAATTTCTGTGGCATGTATTTTCATCAAACACACCCCACACACATGCACATACACATTTATCAAATTGTTGAAAGGAAAGACCCTCTAAGAATCATATATGATTTATTGCCAAATCTTTCTATAGTTTTCCTTAGGTTACTCACTGTAGCATAATCATAAAATTTCATAGACCTTAATTTTTTTCTAATTTGAGAAACTTTTCAGCTATCTTAACTAGGAGAAATTTTGTATCATGTAGAGGAAAAATAGGTTTCAAAACAGTTCATTATCCATTTTAATTTAAATATGTATATTTACATATTTGAATAAAAAAAAACTTTAGATATGAATTTACACCAAAAATATTACTTGTTGTTGTTGTTGTTGTTATGTGCCATGGAGTCGGGCCAACTCATAGCGACCCCTCTTTGGGTTTCCGAGGCAGTATCGCTACGGAAGTAGATTGCCCAACCTTCCTTCCAAGGAGTGGCTATGGGTTTGAACTGCTAGCCTTCTGGTTAGCAGTCAAGTGCCTTTCACTACCAGAGCTCCCAAAAATGTTACTAGGCATCTATGTCTGTTTTTTTTATATTTGAATGGTTTCTGTTTTTCTTTTATTGTTACATATACTTTCTGATTGTTCTGTAATGAATTACTTGTCATTGAACAAACAAATAAGATTTAAAAATCTTTTTAAATTACAGATATGAAAAGCCCCTGACTCGGTTACATGTCACTTATGAAGGTACTATAGAGGGAAATGGTCGCGGCATGTTGCAGGTAGGTGAATCATAGCAATGTGTGTGTATGTTTGGGACTTTATCTTTTCAAGCTTCTGATAGTAGAGGAAATTTGAAAAGCTGTTTATTTATCTTCTAAACTCATTTAATGCAAAAAAGCATAATAGTAGAATGGAGAAAAACACCAAACAAATCATTTTGACAGCCTCAGTAATGTTGTTATCTGCTAGTGCATGCTCTCTGTTTCTCACATGCGTCTCTTTAAAAAAAACCTTTGACAGAAAATCCCAAGATCTGGACAACATCAGGCCTCTTGGTTCAGACATTGACTGTAGACTGACAGTGGAGGAAGTTCCCAGGGTATGGTCTTGACAAGCTGTCACGAGGCAGTTTTTTCTTTTTTTAAAGGTTCTTGCTGTGCCCTAAAAGATGACCAACTTGAGATGTTTTTCTGTTACCAACAGCCTTGTGTAGGTTTAGGAGTCAGACATCTAAAACTGATCGATAGGAAAGGCTTCATTTTATGCATAACAGTTTATTTTCAGCACATGAGCCAACTATGTTTGCTCATATTATATTTTCCTACTTTTAGATCTGATAATTTTGTCCACACCTCAGTCTTTGCTATTAATTGTTTCTGCTTTACTTTAGAAAAATAATTTTGGAAAAAGAGGTTAAAAAATACAGTACTTCATGTATCTAGCTTTAAAAAATGCTATAACACCTAACCTCAGCATGTTTTCCTTTTGTTTTATAATGCTTTTTAATTCACTAATCAGAGACAAAGGTTTTATATTCTTTCATTTATAAGAGCGTTGTAAATTTAGTTTTTATTGAAAAAAGTTTACATACCATCTCATTTATACTGGGAATAATATATTTTTTTTTTCTTAGCTCTTTATTTCATGTCTTACATTGGGTCAGAAGCTAGAGAAAGCAATTGCCTGAGAATGGACTGATTTGCTTGAATACATGCAAATTGTGAAATGTAAAATAACTAGACTGATTTGTGTAGTTTGGCTGGTTATTATATACTTATGCTCCAAGTGTCTAATGAAATAGATTCTTTATAGAATAGCTTTTATTTAGACATATGTTATTAAAATCTACAGAGAGGCAAAGGATGTGTTGTTTTAAATCACTTTCTCCCAGTGATAATTTGAGCTCATAAACAAAAATACTTAAAATACGTATATTAATAATGATCTGTACTTTGGGAAAGAAAGTACCTTTCAATGAAAAAAAAAATCTTGAAATATACTTTAAAATTATTTCAAATGAATATCACTTTTTCCTTACATACTCGTTTTGATGAAGTTTTCTCCTATCATAAAGTCATGGATTAACTGAGGGGAGTCTTAATACACATGAAATAAACAAAGCAATTGCTATTTAGCACCACAGGAATCGTGACCTTTCATTATACTATAATTCAACAAGGAATTACTTAGCAACATTCAAGGTTGAGATTCTCCCCACTTCTCTGGAATATATTATAGATGAAATGTAAGACCTCAGTAGATTAAAAGAATACCATAAAGGCTGCTAGCATTATTAATTGTTCTCCCTGCCCATACCACAAATCCCCAGGAGATCAGGGAATATTGTATTGCAGTGCTACAAAGCTCTTTATGTAGCATATAAATTACATTTTGCTGAATGGCAACAACAAGACCTCTCTAAGGAGTATTATCATTTCTTTCTTTTCATCAAATTATAATTCAGAAACTGAGTAATCTGAACAAGTAGCTTTAAAGCAACTTGGAAAATGACTGGCTCAACATATAGAAGCACTTATATACTTGTTTTCACGTACTGGAACAGGTTTCTCAACTGTAATAGCCTCTTATTAAGAACTTTTTTAGATAGTAGAAACTTTGATTTTCAAAAGACTCCAGTTTTTAGAGTCATACTGAGTTTAGGTATTTATTCTATGCACACGTTTCAAGCAATAAATGTCAGCCTTTTATTCAAAGAGTGAATAGCATATATGTTGAATGTATTTCATCCATCATTACCAGGTTGGTAATGATAAGTTGGATAGAGCATATTTCGTTTTAATTCTGTACCTTGTTCCAGTAAAAATTAACTTTAGCCCATCCCAGACCTTACCTGTTTCTCATTTGCATTTGCAATACCATTATATTTCTAGATACTCAGCCAGTGTCTCAGTACTAATGTGCTGTCCATTTTAATTCCTTGTTAGGTTATCTCTTCCCTCTGCTTTCTTTTTCATTGTCTGTTTGGGAGCTCTGGTGGTATAGTGCCTAAGGTATTTGACTGCTAACCAGAAGGCTGGCAGTTCAAAACCACCAGCTACTCCTTGGAAGGAAGATTGGGCAATCTAATTCAGTAGTGATACTGGCTCAGAAACCCAAGGAGGGGTCGCTATGAGTCGGATCCAACTTGACAGCAGTAAGTTTTTATTTATTTTTTTGAGATTCTAGTAGGACTTCCCTAAACTATATAGTAGACACCTAATCAGCCTCTCTGTTCTTAATTTTATACTTTTTCAGCCTATTCTTTAAACTCTAGCCCAAATTACCTTCTCAAAATACATATCTGGTGTTGCTTTCCTCTTTAGAGTCTTCCCCAGAACCTTCAAAATCAAGTAATAGTTCGTTAGCATGGCATTTTAGACCCTAGAGCACTCTTCCAACCTGTCGTATTGAATTGTGTCCCCAGTAATATTTGTCAACTTGTCTTGACCATGATTCTCAGTGGTTTGGCAGTTGTGTAATGATGTAATCATCATTCATGATGTGATCTGATAAGATCACCCAATCAGTTGTAAGGGGATTAGGGTAATGTCTTAGTTGTCTAGTGCTATAACAGAAATACCACAAGGAGATGGCTTTAAGAAACAGAAATTTATTCTCTCACAGTTTGTTGTTATTGTTATGTGCTGTCAGTCGGATCCGACTCATAACGACCCCTTCTTGGGTCCGAGGTGTCTACAATGGAAGTAGATTGCCCAAACTTCCTTCCAAGGAGTGGCTAGTGGTGAACTGTCACCCTTCTGGTTAACAGTCAAGTGCCTTAGACACTACGCTACCAGAGTTCCTTCTCACAGTTTAGGAAGCTGAAAGTCCACATTCAGGGTGCAAATGCAGAGAAAGGCTTTCTCTCTTTGTTGGCTCTGGAGGAAGATCCTTGTTTTCTATCTTCCCTGGGCCTAGGAGTTTCCCAGTGCAGGGACCCTGGGTCCAAAGGATGTGCTCTGCTCCTGGCACCTCTTTCTTGATGGCAGTAGGTCCCTCTCTCTATATATATACTCACTTCTTTCTCATTTTATCTCTTGTAAGATAAAAAGTGATACAGGCCACACCCCAGGGCTGTGTCCTGAATAAGGGTGTTATATAACAGCCTAATCCTCTTAAAATTAAGTAATTCCTGACAACATCAGTAGTCAGCCAGATTACATAAATACAAATGAGAGTCATGGCCCAATCAAGTTGAGCCATATTTTTGGGGTACATAATTCAATCCTTGTTGGATGTACGAGTTTTCTTTAGGTGTGGCCTAACACAAGATAAAAGAAGAGAAAAAGAAACAGATCGGAGGGACCTGACTACCACCAAGAAAGAAGAGCCAGGAGCAGAACACGTTCTTTAGACCTGGGGTCCTTCTACTGAGAACCTCCTAGATCTAGGGGAAGATTGAAGTCAATAAATATGTACATTTCCAAGGAACATTGGGTCTTGCAGATATTGAAAGGAGACAAGGACCTTCTTCCAGAAGTGACAGAGAAAAAAACCTTCCCTTTGAGCCAGTGCTCTGAATTTGGACTTCTAGCCTCCTAAACTGTGAGAAAATAAATTTTTTAAAGCCATCTACTTGTGATACTCTGTTATGACAGCACTAGGTAACTAAAACACTACCTCATTCCACTTGTAACCTTCTGTATATACTCTGCATGACAGGCAGACATGAGAGATCCACTGACCATTTCTCTTATATAACTATTAACATTAGTTCTTTCCCTGTGTCCTTTTGCATAATATTTCCTCAGCCAAATCTGGATCTAATGCCACGTTCTTCGTAAAGTGCGCTTATCCTTTGGTTATAGATTGAATTGTGTCCCCTAAAAATATGTGTGGTAAATTCTAAACTTTATGCCTGTGGATATAATTCCATTTGAGAATGTGTTGTTTTTGTTAAGGAGGCAGGATTAGTGTAGGATGTACTTGAGTCAATCTCTTTTGACATATAAAAGCAATTGGAGTTGGTGAATTAGGCAGACAAACTACTTGGACCCTTTACAACAAAGAAATGAGAAAACAGTTGAAACAGATACAGAGGCTAATTCTGGAACCCTGAACTTTGAAAGGAAGGATAAAGAAGTGGTTTAAATACTGACTAGCAGAATAAACTGGATGAAAACACTGAATAAGGGGACAAATAGAGTGGTTCACTGGTGACTATCATGACATTGTGGCCGTTTTGAATATTTATAAGTGGTGTTTCAATCTGGGCAACAACCTCATAATGGGGTCTATTTGCCAGGGGATGCATAGGCAACCACACTGGTGGCTGGAAAACAGAAAGCATCTGTGCCTACACGACCCAATCACATCTGCACCTCTTGTACCTCAGTTGATAGGGAGTGAGCCACTACCTGCTTCTGCACCAACTGATCAACAATAGCAACCAAAACCAGCTCAACACACCTTCGGCTGATTTACATGAACAGATAACAGAAATCAGTGAACACATTCTCATCCTCTAGCACACGCACCAGGAGACAGATGGTGAGTGCCTAAGTGCTGCCAAACTAGTGAATAGAGTAGCACACCACCCTATACTCTTGGATATATCAAAATAAAACAAACATACCTGGGTGAATCACATCAACATACAATTAAATATAAATGCAGGGACATCACAGTGTCTCAGAGACAACTGATAATCCCAGTTCACACAAAGAAGCAATATAAAGTCATACAAACAAGGGACCAGAATACAGAGGATGAGGAAGAAGTAGCGTTGGAACTACCTAATAAGGAATTCAAAAGAATTATCTAGGTACCTTCAACAGAT